ACACACACACACCCACCCACACACACCCACACCCACGCACCCACCCACACACACCCACACACACCCACACCCACACACCCACACACACCCACACACCCACCCACACACACACACACACACACACACACACACACACACACCCACCACACACACACACACACACACACACACACACACACACACACACTGCACCTGTCTGGAGGACGAGGCGCCCAGTCGACAAAGCTGATGGCAAGATCAGTGTCTTTGTTGGAGGGCGGCAGGCTTCGGTCCTGTGGACGATACACGCGCAGCGTCAATGCCGCATGGGCGCTTTGTTCGCCATGTTGTTGGTCCCAAGGGAGTGCATCCGTGACATCGACGAGAAACCGTCGGAACGTCCCCACTGTTGTATACATGCACAGTTTGGGCGAGAGGTGTGAAACAAGGTGCATGGGGAAGAGCAAAGAGCAACACTCTTCACCAGGGCAGGCAGGGTATACCACACGAATCGATACACGTACGCCTTCCCTGGTAGTAACTCACCCACTTGCTCGTGGCTTCGAACCAAGTTGTCGTTGATGAGAACCTGCATGCAAGAACACGAGCGAGGGCGTTCGTGTGATTCATTCGCGTTGAGGGTGGAGCGCTTGCTGTGTGCCAGGAAGGCACAGCAGATCTATGTACGCATGTTGGGAAGACACACGTCTGCCTTGTAGTTGATGCCATGAAGATCCAAGATGATACGCGCGTCCGCGTTGGTCCGCGTCACAGATACATTTGACGTGTAGCACCACGGCACATCGAACTGTGTCGTGTTCACCTGCATGCAACGTTATCGCATGGTCGTCTCAGCAAGCATTGATGGCCAAATCAGTGCATGTGATGGGAGGAAATAAGACGCACACTACACCTAGCCCAGAGGTGTGCAGCACTGGCTACAGCACGCATCCAGGGTCACTTGGAACGCAGCGAAGGGCACCTTCACAGATCACACGCCAGTGGCAAGCAAATCAATCATATGTATATCGAAAACCACAACAACAGGTGCAACATACGCGCTTGAGTCTGTCTGAGACGAAGATGTCATCGGAATAAAGGCTTCCAAACACAGTGGATGGCGTCGTGACGAGCGCGCCGTTGTCCACAGCAGCATTTTGCAGTGATCCCGGGCAGGGCGACAGCAGCCAAGTCACCACCGCCACCGCCGTTGTCGCAGCTGCCAGTGGTATCCCCATCATCACAGCAACTTGCGCGCGACCCAAATTCCTCGTCACCGTCGGATGACCGTTTGCTTCAGCACAAAGTGTAGTTGAAGCCACGTTGGCGGCGGTGCGCGCAAACACCAACCAACAACAACCACCACCACCTGCACTGCAAACCCCCCTTGACCGACCTTCTTGCCTTGCTTGCTTGCTTGCTTGTTGTTGTGGTCCATGTCTGCGACGTTGGCGGGCGACCTTCTGCTGACACGACAGGCGGGGCCGACGCTACCCTTGTCGTCGCCATCGCCATCGACATCCAGCACTGCTTCTCCAGCAACGCGCCGTCGTCAGCAAGTCCTCCAATACCAGCAGCACCAGCGCCATCACCACGCCAGCATGAAGGGGAGCTCCAGTGCATCTAGCAGCGGCGATGCAAGCAGTCGGACGTCGCCAAGGCTGCCACCTCCCACCTCTGTCCACCCAGGACCCCCATCCTCCTCACCCAATTCGCTCGTGAACAGCCTGCGAAAGCACTGGTTCCTGGTTGGCCTCGTCGCGTCCATTCTTTTCGCTCGCGCAGCGCCCGACCTTGGTGCCAAAGGAGGTGCGTGTGTGCGTGCATGTGTGAATGGTGAACAAGTGCGCGCGTGTGTATGACGAAACAAATACTCGTTCATACCTCTTGCGTGTTTGTCTGCTTGTCTGTATGTGTTCACCTTTGCACGCACATCCCCAACATTCTCATGTATGCGGCCTCGTGCTTGCCATTCCTTCATTTTGCGTTGTACATGGTCGGCAGGACCTTTGATGCCGGAGTACACCGTCAAGTATGGCGCCGTGTTCCTCATCTTCTTCAACTCTGGCCTCACCCTCAAGACAGAGGTGTGTGGCTGCCTGTGTCATGCGCATGGGTGCAGGGCAAATCTTTGCCAATGCTCAGGGTGCGCATGTCTTCGCAACAACTGACCTCATTGTTGTCTGGACTTCACATCACCGCTCTGTAGGAGTTGAAGAAGGCAGCCATGCAGTGGTCAGTCCACACCATGATTCAGGGTTTTACTCTTGGAGTAGTTCCTCTCTTCATGTCCTTTGTTGTTGCCGCCCTTCGAGGCCTTGTTGACTGGAATCCAGCAATCCTCACAGGGTACGCACCAAATGTGTGTGTGTGCATGTGTGTATGTGTGTATGTGCATGTGCACGTGTATGTGTGTGCGTGTGCGTGTATGTGTGTATGTGTATGTGTGTGTGCGTGTATGCGTGTATGTGTATGTGTGTGTGCGTGTATGCGTGTATGTGTGTATGTGTATGTGTTTGTGTGTATGCATGTGTGTGTGTGCGTGTGAGTGTGAGTGCATGTGTGTGTGTGTCGTTTTATGTGCGTACACGTCTTGTGGCCAGGTGACCAATCCTGTGCACATCATGCACCGAGTGCACTTGCTTGCTTCTCACATACGCGGCTTTTGCAACCCCTCCTCGCCCTGCTGCTGTATGTTTGCAGATTGTCTGTACTGTCGTGCCTGCCCCCACCTGTGTCCTCCGCCGTCATCCTGACGTCTGCTGCTGGCGGGAACGAGGCGGCCGCCATCTTCAACTCTGCATTTGGCAGTTTCCTCGGCATTGTCGCCACCCCGCTCCTCCTCTTCACCGTCGTGCGTACCCCTCGCCTCATGCACTGTGTTTGTGTTTGTGTGTGTTTGTGTGTGTTTGTGTTTGTGTGTGTGCGCGTGTGTGTGCGTGTGTGTGCGTGTGTGTTTGTGTGTGTGTGTGTGTTTGTGTGTGTGCGCGTGTGTGTGCGTGTGTGTGCATGTGTGTGCGTGCGTGTGTGTGCGTGTGCGTGTTTGTGTTTATGTTTGTGTATGTGTCTGTGCATGTCTGTGATACTGCGCGAATGTAGACTTGGTTGCGTGTGTATCGCTCCTTCACACCTCCACCTGCTTATTCCCGCCCACCACGACCACCAATTCCCTTAATGCGTGCAGGTTGGCCAGTCTGCGGGTGTTCCCGTGGAGAAAATCTTCATGTCGCTGACAGCAACAGTTGTCGTTCCACTCATCCTTGGCCAGGTCTGCTGTGACTTGAAGCCTACACGCGATGAAGCATGTGTTTCTGCGCGTGTGCGTGTGCGCGTGCGTGTGCATGTGCGTGCCAACTATTGTGTTGTCGGTGTGTATTGCTGATGCTTGCGGTGTTGCCTGCATTATCGGCGTGGTGTAATCTGCAGGTCGTTCGGTTCAAGGCGTGGACAGCCATAAAGCCTCTCAACATCCCGTTCTCTACCATCAGCAGCTCTGTCCTCCTCCTCATCATCTACTCCACATTCTGCCAAACATTCAAAGGTATCTGTCGCTGCACGCTCTGATGGTGGAGTGCCGCCTCCATTGTAGACTGTCTTCGCAGTGCATGTGCGTGTACACATACGAAGTACGTTTTGGATTGTCATCGCAGTGTATGTGCATGTACGCGTTTCAGCATTGGCATTTTATACACACACACACACACACACACACACACAACAACTCATACACACACACAACAACTCACTACACACACACACAACAACTACACTACACACACACACACACACACACAC